TCTACTCTCTAAGAGTTCATTTCCCACGGTAAAAGTAACATATAACCTCGCGGATGAGAAAGCATATCTCTGACCAAATGCAGAGCTCCCCATATCCCTGCGCGCATGTCAGGGAATGGCCTTGAGCCACTTCGCGCCATATTTATCTGCGCGCGCACGTGCAGTGGCCTTGCTCCACTTGCGCCAGAGTACAATGGTTCATCAAGTAATACAATGTGCTGTGTGCGTTCTAAATCTAAAGGCTGCCCTTGGGCGCCCTTAGCAGAAAATAGAACCCGCGTAATGTGTAATTGAAGTGGTCTGCTACCGTACGCCCCGCGTAACCCGCGGGTACCGGCGCTTGTTCCGCCGCCGCCGGCGCGGTGCGGCGTATCCGCGGCGCGTGTTTCGCCCGCGCGGTGCGGGTATCCGCGCGGGCGTGTTCCGCCGCGGCGGCGCGGTGGCGTATCGCCGGCGCGGTCGCCTGCCGCGGCGCGGTGCGGGGTATCCGCGGCGCGTGTTCGCCGCCGCCGGCGCGGTGCGGGTATTCGCGGCGCCGTGTTCCGCCGCCGCCGGCGCGGTGCGGGTATCCGCGGCGCGTGTTCCCGGCCGCGCCGCATAGCGGCAACCTCCGTACGGGTTATCCGCTTCCGGCGCGACCCCGGGTGGGCGCACAAATCAGGCCGCCGCTACATTATCTTATTACACTGATTTGTAAATATTGATATTGTGTGCAATGTTATATTGTCGATTTTTACCCAATGTTCCTATTGTGTCAAATTATTAGTAGTATGAATTAGTAGCACGATTTTACCCAGCGCAGCGGGTACCCGCAGCTAGTATATATATATATATATGCAAGGATTTTACGTCTAGTTGTGACGACGAATGAAGGTTCGACCACTGGATTGTAGTGTAGGAGTCAACACAAGAAATAGCAACACGTAAAACCAGAACAAGCTGATAAAAGTGTTCACGCCAGGAATAGGCTTTTATTCGGCCTTAGTCAACAGACTAAGGTGAACTAAAAGATGGTGCACAAAATACCATACAGCCTTGTCACTGGGGTGCAGCGAATAAATTGAACAGCCAAACAGTACTAGATAACAACCTGTTGCCCTGTGCAGGGGTTAACTAGATACTGGTATGCTTACGTGATCCGTGAAGATGAGGCGCTCCTGCTTGTGCCCGCAATGCTGGCTTGACCCGTCTTGGTCGCTCCAGATCGTATACTGCTTTACTGAGAGCAGAGCCCCGTATTTATACCACAAGCTCAGCGTGGGTAGGGCTTCCCATCATGCAACACGAGAGACGCGTGATCAAGTCATGTTTTATGTCACGCACATCACATGACAAGCCACACATCACCTCACACGTTTCCTTCATACAACCGGTGGGAATCACGTGATCACTGTCATAGCATCGACCCTGGGATGCTGAGACACGTGACAGGACGATAGGATGAGGGAATATGAGGCTATAGCAGTCGAAGTTCATTACACTCCCCCTTTCCCTCTTGAGACTCTTGCCCACAAGAGTCATCCTTGGGGTGACAGCTAACGAACATTCGGATGCCCTCTCACCAGCAGCGTATCACTATCTGCGGGTGCTAACATCGCTGGCGAATAGAGGCGTGACTCTCTACCCGGATCTGACACCTATAATGCCACTCTAACGTCAGGAGGAAGCATACCAGTGTAAACGTCTATTTTATACGCGTTACATGAATTAGTCAGTGGAGCTAGACGGGTAGTTGTTTTAGATATAGTCTAGCTAGACAGAACGTCGCGGATATTGGGCGGCAGCATTGATGTTACGGGGAGTTGGGTAAGCGGGTTCTAGGTTAGGCAGTTTCTAGGGTGATTGTGAAATGAGGGGAACGGTTGGAACTGGACAAGACGGGTGACATGTGCCCTCAAGATGTAGGGAGTTTTGGGCGAATATATAGGGAGAGATGTGATGGAAGGAGTGAGTTGGAGAGTCGGGTGCTGGTCGGGAGAGTGCGCGCACGTGCGACCGCGCGTGTGCGCACGTCCTTTGTCTCTTTGTGCGATGTGACGACACAGTGTATAAGATATTAAAAGTTATACAGTTTACAACACAAGTTCTGGATTTGGATCTGTTTCTACATCATTTCGACATCAACGCTCATTCCAACGTTACACCAGACCATCTGCACGACTCGTCTAAGAAATACAAACCAACTAATATTACACATTTTTCCGCAGCCTGGCGGTACATTACGTAAGTGTTAGGGTATTGTCTCGCAATACTTACTAAACATATGCTGACGTTACATCTTACTGGTAAGTTACAGGCTGCACGGAATTACAACGAACCGTGGCAGGTAACCTTTGACCTGGCCTGACTACCCAAGCGTTAGCCTGAGAGGAGCAACACTCACCCGGGGGATCTTCCTCTCAGCTTCCGGTGGCTTCTGTGGCAGAGTAGATGACGCTAGAGGAGGCTCGACGGCGGCTCGTTGGAGCGGCGGTCAGCACACGGGCTTGCCAAGATCACACCTTTCGTAGCCTATCGGTAATCCGTGGGCCTACCGGAAATGCGTACACGGGCCAGAATACGGCATGATGCATCGTCAGGGATCCCCTCGTCCTCATCTACGTCGCAAGTCTCATTCACGATCCTCAGCTGCACGTAACTCTGATGATATAGGCTGGTTGCCACGTCGATTTTCTCAGCAGCCCTAGTCTCTTGAAGATGTGTTCTACCGGTGGGATGACGGCTGGCCTTAGCCTAGCGGCCATGGCTCCGGCACACTATCTCCTTCGTAAGGCTTAAGATCTTCGATGGCCACAACACTCGGCGGATCACTCTCTTGGGCCTGTACCCAGCGAAGCGTCCCTCTCAACCTTTACCACTAAGAGCGGACCTTGCCAAGGTGTACCCAGCTTTCCGGCGGTAGGCACGTAATATTGCCACACCCAGGCGCCAGGGGGAAAAGCAGAGGTACTGACGAGCTTGTCGTAATTCCTCTTCTGCTTCTCCGCCGCCTTACCCAGCTGCATACGGGTGTGCTCATGCGCAGCACGAGTGGATTGCCTCACCCATTCAATGTATTCTACCGGACAGGCTGGGTATTCCACCCCCGGGATACCTTCTAGCATGAGGTCCACTGGTGATCCTACTTCACGACCAAACATGAGATTTGGACTCACCCCTGTACTTTCCTGGGGTGTGCTGTGATACGCTGCCATAACGAATGGGAGATGCTCATCCCAATCATTCTTCTGTGCACATCCAACCTTTGCTAGCATATCCAAAATAGTACGATTCAGTCTCTCTACTAAACCGTCTGATTGAGGATGATACGGCGATGTACGGGTTTTATCAATTTCGAGGAGCCTGCACATCTCTGCAAATAGCTTTGACTCGAAAGATCGACCCTGGTCAGAATGCAGTTGGCGGGGGCAAACAAATCTGGCGAACAGCTGCGTCACTAGGCTTTCCGCCACTGTGCGTGCAGTCTGAACAGGAACAGCTTAGGCTTCTGCCCACTTAGTGAAGTAATCACAAGCGTCTAGCATGTACTTATTCCCACGCTCTGTAGGGGGTAATGGACCGGCAAAATCCACGGCTAGACGTAGTTTTAAAACAGCATACCAGCGTACTTCTTGACCAGTGTAGGTAGGTACGTCCTCTCCATGACAAGAACATGTAACTTGTGAAGAAGGTCTTCCTTCCGATTTGCCCGTCTTCTCTCCCTTGCCCCCTTGAGCGACTCAGATTCAACTGACCATCGCTGGCTAATCTGCAGCTTCTTTTCCAGCATTTTGGTGTTCTTTTCCAGCCTATCGATCAGAGATATTATGTATTGGTTCGCAATAATCTATATATATATTTACTTATTTGTTTATTTATGTTTATTTAATACAGAAGTATAAAAACTTGTCAGACTATCAGCCTTTTTTGGCTCTTTATTAAAGCCAATTGTGCATAATTTTATTCTTTACATTTACAATTACCTTATTCTTTTATTTTATTCAAGCATGATAAGGATTATGGTTACCTAGCTTGTTTACTCTGCAAGGAGAGGTGCTTATTCTCGCTCTCAGCATTGTCGAGATCACTCTGCGACTGTGCTCGTTGTAAATCCAAACTGAAAAGATACATAAATATATAGTAGCACTGTTAAGGTTGTTGACTCTTAGGCCACTTCCACACATTTGTCTATTGCAGTGTAGTTCAATATCTACAGGACCGCCATAAGAAAATACGTATAACTATGGACGGGACATTCAATTTTTCAGCCGCTTAAATATGTATATTGCAGGATATTTTTGGCTGAACATTTATTAATATATTTGTTAACATCCAGTTTGAAAGAGACCAATTTCTGCATTAAAGATAATGCAGTACTGGCCATTTTATTGCAGTCTTGATGTCTAGTCCTGTATAGTCAGTTGTTCTGTCACTGAATGTTCTGCTTAGATAGTTGTACATAGGGAACTGATATCTAGCATGTTTGAATTAAAACTTACCTGGCCAAATGAAGCTTATACACAGAATCTGCGAAAATCTCTTCCAGCTCCTCCTCTTTATTACCTGATAATCATTGTATGTACATACATAAATCTCTCTATATATCAATATGTATAGTATCCATTGTGCTTCTCACTGGAGCATGATTCTCACATGCTTCAAGTCCCTCCGATTTTGTTATGGACATATAATGCAACCTCATTGGAAACCAAGTAGGTAACTGTACGAGTTACTCTGTATAAATATAGTACTATACTATATACCATACTTTACTATACTATATACTATATACTATATACAGTATAGCTATTATATACCATGTATACATATACCTAGTTTTATTATAACAGATCTAGACAAAAATACTACAAAACACATGTCCACCTAATTATACTTGTGCTTATTCTAAACCACCTGTGATGGTAGGCTTAATGTTGGCATTCATTGCTTGGAGCTCCTCGACTTGCCACTGTTTGATGTCTTGCAAAGTAGGGCATTCTACAAGTAGCAACAGTAATTCAATAACTTTAAACATAATAGAGTATACACACCATGTATATAGTATCATAAAACCAGAAATAAAAAACTGTTTGAAAAAAAGTATAACAAACATAACAGATTATAAATGTTCAACCTGGCAAGCTTGACGTTAGCTGCTCAAGTTCCTGATCACAGTTACTCCTGGTTGTCTGCGCTTTTATGTAGCGATGCATCAGGGTTTCTCCTATAATGTATAAACAAACAGCTTGAACAGCAATTCACGTTTTTAGAATATAGTTAGCTAGAAAATGGCTCATATTTATACAAGTAATTATGGCAAACTATTTTACTTTAAATTAGTGGTCTTTGGTTAAAATGGCTGACACATTATTTATTTTCTGAAAACCATCATGAAGATAGACCATGCCTTCATTTCAGGATCAATAAACCTAAACTGTATAACTGAGCACAAGAACAATATGTGTATACCCATTTGGTTCCTGAGGTATTCTGAGTAGTGAAGCAAAGCATCATCTAGTAGTGCCACACGTTGGTCGGGGGTCATTTCTTTTGTGATGCGGTTGAAACGTCTGAGATATGACCACAAGCGTTCCATCCCTTCTCCATCTGTAAGTCCAATGTCAGATAACCTACGTGGACTATATTTAACCTGTAAGCAAGAAAACAAAATCAGTCTATACTAACAGCCAAGATGTGGTTTTAACAATGAGCTTAGTATAGTCTTCAGCAAATGCATTAATTGTTATGTGCTGGAAAGAAACAATCTTTCTACATCTGGGGTTCTTAACCTGTGGTCCATGGACCCCTTTGGGATCCGTTGTTGGGCTTCTGGGGGTTTGCAAACCAGGTGCATGTTGCACAATTTTGTGTTTATGTGCTTATGTGGATTTTACTTGGGAGGAATCCGTAGCTTTCACAAGACTTTCAAAGGGGTCCATGACTCAAAAAAGGTTAAGAACCACTCGTCTACATCTTTGGGTCAAAAATATGTTATTAATTGCAGAATTCGATTCGATTGCGATTACAATTCCAGATATAATACCCTAACATCATGTTCAATGTAAGAGTCACATAAATGTTAACTAGCAACACGTACATTAGCACATTTACCGTCATATCTATCACATTCAGAAAGAGATATCTGGGATGATTTTGATAATAAGGCAGAAAAGACGTTTTAAAACACAACATACCTGACATCCAACCTTATGCCCATACATGTGGAATATTGGTATCCCGAATTCAACCACGCGTTCCGAATGTTGAGACATTGGGTCCAAATTCTAAAAGAGCAAACAGTTTTTAAACATGATGAAAGTGGGAGATAATTAGAATCTTGTTTATCTTGTAAATAAACACAAAAATATCAGCTATTCTATCTATATTCTGAGCTTACTCTGATGACTCTTAGGCCACTTCCACACATTTGTCTATTGCAGTGTAGTTCAATATCTACAGGACCGCCATGAGAAAATACGTATAACTATGGATGGAACATTCAAATTTTCAGTCGCATAATTATGTATATTGCAGGATATTTTTGGCTGAACATTTATTAGTATATTTGTTAACATCCAGTTTGAAAGAGACTAATTTCTGCATTAAAGATAATGCAGTACTGGCCATTTTATTGCAGTCTTGATGTCCAGTCCTGATTAGTCAGTTGTTCTGTCACTGAATGTTTTGCTTAGATAGTTGTACATAGGGAACTGATATCTAGCATGTTTGAATAATTAAAACTTACCTGGCCAAATGAAGTTTATACACAGAATCAGCATAAATCTTTTCTAGCTCCTCTATTACCTGATAATCATTGTATATATACATACATAAATCTTATATCAATATGTATAGTATCCATTGTGCTTCTCACTTGAGCATGATTCTCACATGCTTTATGTCCCTCTGATTTTGTTATGGGCATATAATGCAACCTCATTGGAAACCAAGTACTGTAACTGTACGAGTTACTCTGTATAAATATAGTACTATACTATATACCATACTTTAAATACAGTATAGCTATTATATACCATGTATACATATACCTAGTTTTATTATAACAGATCTAGACAAAAGTACAACAAAACACATGTCCACCTAATTATACTTGTGCTTATTCTAAACCACCTGTGATGGTAGGCTCAATGTTGACATTCATTGCTTGAAGCTCCTCGACTTGCCACTGTTTTATGTCTTGCAAAGTAGGGCATTCTACAAGTAGCAACAGTAATTCAATAACTTTAAACATAATAGAGTATACACAACATGTATAGTATCATAAAACCAGAAATAAAAAACTGTTTGAAAAAATTGTATAACAAACATAACAGATTATAAATGCCCAACCTGACAAGCTTGACGTTAGCTGCTCAAGTTCCTGATCACAGTTACTCCTAGACAATCGGCAGCCCGGATCTCGCGTGAAGCGCGAAAAACGCCGCATAGCGGCACACTAACACAACAACGCTGCACTCATTGTATAGCAATTTCAACGGGTCCACTATAGACGGAATTCTGGGGCAATCGCTGAGTTGAGCAGTTCTTACGATTGCACGACGGGTTTGACTACCCACGTAGCTAGAGATTTCCTAGAAATGGTAATTCTTGGTTCGCTACTCGGCACGCTTGGTTTGCTGTAAAAAACGGAGTTGAAATTTTTTCTGCCAGTGACTAGTTGAGGCCCCACATCCGTGTAGTACATATGGCGTGCGATAGATGGCGCAACAAGGCTATATGCATAGCATTTCGCTAGCACTTTTCCTGCAGACGGCTCGGCCGGCTATAACCTAGACTTGTACCCGGTCGACAGTTCCACGCGCTACACTAACTAACTTGAGTGTAGCTAAGGATACATGCCGGAGTGAAGGTGGCGAACGGGTACCAGTCTAGAAAGCCAACTGGAAAGAGAAACTGAAATGGGAACTAGCTTATCAGCATCATAACGTTACTGTGAGTGGTATATATGTAACATTTCATTATAGCCTTCTGTTCATTGAGTCCATATTGCACAAAGCTGAGAAATGGTGTTCATTCCATGTTGTAATTCATGTTTTGTTTGCAGCTAGCTGTAACTCTATACAACATTGACGATATTTGTGTGGTACTTGACGTCTGCCTTGACGGACCATTTTGCGGGTGCTGAAGTATGCGGTTAGTGAATGATGAAATATTGGGTATTCTTCCGTATGCATTATTTCTGTCTCCTGATTTTCCTGGTGGGGCATGTCGTCGCGCAATGTCTGACAATTGAACGACCGTGCAATGTAAAGCATATAGAGTCCTAGCATATAACAGCATATATTGCGATGTATTTGTAACCGTTCATTCCATTTACCTCACCAGCGCTATAAGCAGTAAGGAAATACCGCTCTTGACCCGTGTTCTTCATGGTTCGATGGTTTCTTTGTGTGTTATACTTGTAACGGCCTCAGCAGACTTTGCCTTTGCCGGCTCATGTACAGCTGGCTGTACAGTTATACATTCTCCGGCGGTCATATATGCGCCGTTCAGCAATAACTACGCCTAACTACGCGTGACAAATGTCACCCAAATCGATCATATTGACGAAGTTGGCCATTGTGTGCAGAACATCACGTTACATGCAAGGCAAAACAACGTCGCCGACATCTTCAACATGACGTAGGTACTGCTGTCATGACGTTCTGTAGCAGCACAGAGCAGAGCAATACGCAGAGGAATGAGTTTGATGTTACAAATAGCAACATAATGCGCATACTCTCTCGTACAACATCGTCATCCATTTCTTCATGCAATCATGGTGCGATCTCTTTGATGTTTACATATGAAGTGTTACATAAGACAGGCGTCATGGGGCGCTGTACAACTTATAGTGAAAACTCCTAAGACCACACGGAAATGGAACCACCGCGAAATCAAAACCTTTGCTCTCGCCCCCCATCTGTACGACCCCCCATCTAAGTCGCGAGTTCCTCCCACGTCGCAAATCTCTGCCCTCTGTGTCCCATCTCAAATTCCGGACTGTTTGCTGGCAGCTATGGATCTGTGCGCCGGCCTATGCATTCGGCACACGGGTCCATAGCTGCCAGCACTGCATACTGTTGTACGATGTTCCCGCGGTCGCGTGCGCCTTGCCACGGAACTGCCCGCAAGATCCGCGCTCAGCGGTTAGGATCAACACCTTTCGGCAACACTTCTCTGGTATCCGGTCTCATCTGAATAACACCCTGTAGTGAGTTGCTAGCCCTGTGCAGGGGTTAACTAGACAATCGGCAGCCCGCATCTCGCGCAAGGCGCGAAAAACGCAGCGTAGCGGCACACTAACATAACAATGCTGCACTCATTGAATAGCAATTTTAACAGGTTTACTATATAGCAAGTATGATAATATACTTAGTACCTTAGACATTAGTACCTAACATTCCAGGAACCGCTTCTCGCTTTTCACACACCTCAGCAGTGTCGTTCATGACGAGTATACCCACACAATGAAGGGTAACACCAGATACTTCAACTGGTAACACAGGAAGTCCGAGATAAGGAATTTCTAGTCCGTTAGCTGCTTTGAGAGCTAACCAGCTCTGTGTCTCTAGCACATGTAGTCTGAAATTATCCCTGTAGAAATTTTCAGATACTGTAGACACCTGTGATCCACTATCTATGAGGCATTTAACAGACTGTCCACCAATCTTAGCCAATACTACTGGTCTGCCACCAATAGTCTGTGAAATGAGGACAGATTTCTCCTCCTGGCTGCCATGACAACCAGCTTGATGGTCATCAACACTCGTAGGAATGGACGCATTCACACTAGCTGCTCCACCGTTCGGCTCTAGATCAGCCTTCAGTTTCGCACAATCACGTTTGACGTGTCCATACCAATGGCAATAATAACAATTCACCTGTCGAATACCCTGTCCTGATCGACGACTATTGTTGTTACTATTGTAGTCCTGTGGTTTATGTATGGCTTTAAGGAGTTCCTGGTTTTGCTGTAGTAAAGCCGTCTGCTGTTGTTGGTTGCGCTTGATGAGTGACGTTAGGTTAGTCTGTTCCTCTCATAACATCTCTAACTCCTTAGCCATAGAGCTTTCCCGGTGTACACACTGATGGGTGACCTCAGCCTCTGCCACATGAGTCGATGCCGTGTTAGTAGGGTCCTCATCTTCCGCCCAAGACAGAGCTTCAGCACGTAAGTCCTTAAACGATATATCAGGAGCTTTCTTAATTTCCTTTCTTAGATCTCTCCTGAGAGCTTTGTCTCTGACCTTCTCAGTAAACCTGTTCCTTAGCATCTGGTCTTTGTTTGGTAAACAGTCTGGGTCTCTCTTAACAGCTCTCTCGGCCAGAACTATCAGGTTACCTGTTTACGATTGAAGAACAGATCAAGTATCTGTGTTGCACTCTTCTGTTCACCAAAGGCTGCCTCTAATATCTCAAAAAGTTCCCCCGGTTCCTCCACGTCAGCATCTCTCACTTCAGCCTTAGCTGAACCATCAAGATGCATACGCAGGAAATCTGTCGCTGCTGGACCTTGGAGTCCTTGACTGCGGATAGCTCTCCGTGCCTCAACTATCCAGTCATCAAGTTTCAACGAATCACCCTCGAAGGTAGATAGCTTGCGATGGGCATACACCACTCTCACTGCTGGCGCTGGAGGCTGTTGTGGGGGATCAGCCTCATCCAGTCTAGCACGTAGCTGTTGTAGCTCCAGACGCAGGGCCTCAACTTCTGCCATAATTCCTCAGTTCAGCTAGCCGCTTTGTAACCACACTATACCACCGCTGCCACCATTTATGTAACCTGACCACAGAAGACCAGATTACATATATAACGGATGTATTTATTTAGTACACAAAGCGGCTAGCACCTTCGGACAAGAATCAAAAAGCTGGCGCCATTCCCACAACCACGCTGCCTCGTTTTTCAGAATATTAGGAACGAGTGCAAAACTAGAACACTGAGAGGTGCTGCCCTCTACACTGATCAGATGTAACTAAACACAATCATAAATTTTGGCACAGTACTGCCACATCATCAACAATACTATCCAATTCACCTTGAGTTAAATCTATGTTGCCAAGCCTCTCATCAATAGCCAACATATCATCGACGTCAAATGCATTTTTATAATCAATTCTAAGATCATTATTCCACTGAGTTTTAAGAGGTTTATATGAGACATCAGCCAAACTAACGGGATCCTCACAAATAGGATTAGCGTCAGATTCCAAAGTGAGCTGGTAACTTGAATTAAAACAAATTTGGACAGAGACAGCACTATGGGTATCAGATAAACATTTATCCAAAATATCAGTATGGAAATCAGTGATTTTTAGCAATAGAGTGGGAGATACCAGAACTGTGCTGTTGGTGGCCAAGGCAGTGTGTTTGATGGGATGTCATCAATAGCAGATCGTAAATCATATGCTGATGCATACAGATCTCTCAAGCTTACTGGTTGCTGGGTATTGCAAGATTTTCCTTTTTTATTGCGTTTTCTTCCTTTTAGCGCATCACCAGCTTCCTTTGGTTGGCACTCGCTACCTGTAACATCAGTGTCAGTTCCTGTATCTGTGTCAGTGTTAAAAATTGGACAGCTTCTTCAACCAGATCTTCTGCAGCAAGGCTATCTACATACACAAGTTCACTTTCATATTGCCTGCTTGGCTTTAGAAAGCACACTTGAGGGTATTTTTAAGCCTCTGCTTCAAGTTCCATGTCTTGTACCTTGCTGCATCTTTGTTCTCAATATCACTCACAGTTTTGACAAATAACTTCTTTAATTTGGTCAAGCGGAGGATCTCTTTGTACCTGATCAGCTTGCTATCTATTACCTGTGAACAAAATGCGTCTAAACTCTTTGCATACAGTTCTACATTTTCTCCCTGTGGTAGTGGTCTCGTCAAGAACCGTGTGTATGATTGTGGCAACTGGCATGGTAACACAGCTCAATGGCTACACAATCATGGTTTTCAATGTGGGTCAACAAATAGTGCGAGTAAGTTTACGGCGCCGTTCACTAGTTCACACCGAGTCTAAAACGTTTGGTTGTGTCTTCGTTGTAGTCCTGTTGTGTAGCTGTGTGGCAACGACAGATAATGCACACTTTGGGTAGGATATGAGAACTGCGGGATGTTGATGAAGGCCACAATGCAGAACTAGACCTCAGTATTTTTTCCCTTTGTAGCAGGCTCTGGTTTGTAGGCAGTGGGACTCGGGGATTGAACTTTTACCGGCAGATAAACAAAACAAAATAAAGCAAACAGTAGAAATTTGTATTTTGAATTAATCCTATATTACAAAAACAAATGGATTTGATTTGAATTTATTTTCTGTATTTTTCTATTTACAAGTTCAACAAAATAGTACAAATAAATAAGTAAGTATAAACATAATTCAAATAATG